CAGGAGGTTATTTATTCGGGTCTGTGCGTTAGTGTGTGAGTGTGTGCGTGCGTGCGTGCGTGCGTGCGTGCGTGCGTGCGTGTGTGCGTGCGTGCGTGCGTGCGTGTGTTCGCGCGATCAATAGTCAGCAGCAGCTCACCTTAGGGCGCCGATTCAGCAGCAGCTTGCCTTTGGGCGTCGAGTCAGCAGCAGCTTGCCTTAGGGCGTCGAGTCAGCAGCAGCCAGCAGCAAGCGGCGAGCCAGCTGTTATACACATACATGTTACATGCTGGCGGAGTTATGCACTCTCCGTGAGTGCCCTCTGTCTAGTACTATATGTCCTATATAGATGGTCTGTGTGTGTGCGTGCGTGCGTGCGTGCGTGCGTGCGTGCGTGCGTGCGTGCGTGCGTGCGTGTGTGTGCGAGTGCGTGCGTGCATGCGTGCGTGTGCACGCGCGCGTTTGGGCATGTTTAGGATGACTGCTACTATATACGAGCGTGCAGCATAATAAAGCAGTCGATTATTTTGTACCAGGCATAACTAGGTCAGATGCCTGGGCACACGAGCAGGCATGCACACACTCACTATACTGATCGAGTACTGAGTGCACTGCGTGGTTACACAGCCGGTGCTGGGATAAGTGACATATCAGTCTATACAAGTCTAGTCGGAGCCGACGCAGACTCCAGTAATGGGGTTAAACCCGCACCCTCAGATTAGCAAAGCGGAGTTATAACTACTGCGTTCGATTTGCTTCCCCAAGTTTACCTGGGTCTACTCGGGCCAGCCCCAAATACGTTCGATTTGGCAGCCAGCTATTTTTGAGTTACCCGGGTGAGGCCGAAGTAACCCGCTAGCCGAGCCGCTCACTTGGGGAAGTATCCCACAATTCATTGCAGTCGTCTGCATCTCTTCATGCTGGCTTAACTCAGTAACAAACAGGTTGAATGTTTCCCTCTCCAGGCGGATATTACGGGGCGCCATGCAGGACAGGTATTTTTGTACCTATAAACTTGACAAAAATGAGTTTTGTGAACACAAAACTCAATTCTGTCAATCCTATCCCACAAAACTCAATTTTGTGAACACAAAACTCAATTCTGTCAA